AATAAAAAAAAAAAAAAAAAAAAAGGTAACCGTACACATAAGAACACTGAAAGCAGCATCTGCACAGCAAAACATACACCTCCCCTCTGCACATGGGCTCACCTGCATGGACTGTAAACCACAGTGCAAACAAAGAAACACCCTGAACACTGATCCATCACTGGTTTAGCATGGTACGTATTATACTACTTTTCACTGTCTATGTAATACACTCCCTTACCTGGGTATTTTGCTTTTTAATGGATATTCTGTGGGCTTTTGCAGGTACTGGGGATTGAACCCAGGGCATTTCCATTGAGCCACATCTTTTTTACATTTTATTTTTGAGACAAGTTCTCACTAAGTTTCCCAGGCTGGCCTCCAACTTTCAGTCCTCCTGTGTCATCCTCCCAAGGAGCTGGGATAATTGTGCCACTGTGACTGGCAGTGTCCATATTAAAAAATAAAGATTTTATTTGGTTCTAATTGGAAAAAGAAAACAGGTCTCCCTAAGAACTGTATTTAAAATGCAAATCTTTAAATTCTTCAGATATATACACTACCCAGACCAGGAAAATCCCCACCAAAATGTCAGTATTCACGACTCCACAGCCACCTGGGATACATTAATTCAAGAGTCATGCTGGGGATTTAGCTCAGCGGTTCTGCTGCCTACATGCAAGCACAAGGACCTGAATTTGATCCCCGGTACCAAAAAAAAAAAAAGAGTCAACAATCTCAGGGCATGAGTATATCACATTAAAACATAAGTTAGAAGGGCCAGGGATTTAGCTAAGTGGGATAACGCCTGCCTTGCAAGTGCAAGATCATGAATTTGGACCCCAGTACAGGGGGGGAGAAAAAATACACACACATTAACAATAACAATTTTAAAGCTGTACTTAAAAATAGGAAGTCATAAATAAATAACTAATCAGATAAAATGTTTCCAAAGCTTTTTTTGCGGGGGATGAGACAGGGTCTCACTACGTAGTTGAAACCAACCTGGAACTCACTATGTAGCCTAGGCTAGTCTCCAACTCACAGCAATCCTCCTGCCTCAGCCTCCTGAGTGCTGGGATTACAGGAGTGCGCCATCACACCCAGCATCCAAAGCTATATATTATGTTTCTAAAATTAGAAAGGCTTTAACTATTAAACTCTACCCTGAAAGTTCCTACTTTTTCTATAACAGGAAAAGAGTAATTTTTGAAATAAAAAATGTGGGTTTTCACAGGAGTTGAAAGCCAAGAGAAAAACATACCTTCTAGGAGCATTTCTGGAATGTCTGCTTGGTATCTAGGACCCACTCTGATTTCACCTTTGTCAGCTAATAAAGTCTTCACTGAGGGGTCATAGACCAATGAGTAGAAAAAGGTATCCTGAAAAAAATGACAGAGAATACCTAGGTAAACAATTTCTTCTACTTTCTATAAAGCAATAAAATGTCACAATAATGAAAGCATGAACTTGAGAGTGGTGAGTAAATTCAGAAATCTTTAAGGAAAGTATGGTGTTACTGTCATGTAAAATAATGTTAAAGCCAAAAGAAATAGCTTTAAATAAGAGACTATGAAGTTTTATTATTTGTTTCAGTTTGAAAGAAAATCATTAACTGCTCTAAAACAGAGTTTTGAATAGCTAACAGAGTAAACTACTTGAAGGGAAAAAAGCCCTAAAATCAAGTATTCTATCTCCTAATCAAATAAAATCCTCACCAAATAGCAGGGATCCCTTCAGGGATAACAGACACTTTTACTCTTTACCCTCGCACATTTTTTTCAAAAATTTCAAAGGCACAAAAATGACACTGTTACTTTGTAAGAGTTGAACCTTCAATCTATCAATATCACTGTAGATATTTAATTAAATATTAATTGTAACCCAAATCCTTCCCATTTTAAAGCACACAATGTGTGTAGAGGCACTAAACATAAATAACCAACCACATTATCTCATATACTCCAATGATCCCTTAAAAACATCAAATGCCCTAGAAGTACTGAGCCGAGTGGCTACAAATCACCTGGCCACCAGACTTTTGATGAATTCAACAGAGCCACTGGCATATGAACCAACAAAGTCCTATCTTCTGCTTCCTATCAGAATCCAGAAATCATCTATCAAAAAACTCTGCATTCTACCCCAGAAGGGCCTACCCCTACCATCAACACATCACCAAGACCAGCCAAGCAAGCCGTCAGACTACAAGGGTCTCTCTCCTTTTAGGCTTACATACTGTAATAAGGAGGAAGGAATAAAGTTATTCCATCCAATGAGAAACTCTGTACAGTATTTTAACAATGGGTCACTGTCAGGAGAAAAGATTAAACAACTGCTAAAAAGGAGACAAAAATGTGACATTTATCCATATCTTAAAAATAATGAGGAAAAAACATATGCATGAATATACAAACCATCCTTAACAGAGAGGATGACCATTATGTAGTCAGGTTTTGTTGGCTGTTTTGTTTTATAGACATCAGCAACAAAGAATATTTATTACTCAGGAACTGAAGATTTTGTCACTGGCTCACCATTAGATTTTAAAGCAGAATTATTTCAGGTCACTTTTAATCAGTAAAATTTATGAACATGATACTCCAATTTTAAAAGGGACCTTGCCATAATCCATAAAAAAAAGAAGCAAAACCATTACTTAGGCCGGGCGTGGTGGTGCACGCTTGTATCCCAGCACTCGGGAGGCTAAGGCAGAAGCATCACTTTGAGTTTGAGAGAGCCTGTCTCAAAAAACCAAAAAAAATAAAAACCACACAAACCATTACTTAGGGTCAAATGTATGCTTACAATTCTTAGCTATGTTTAGTTCACCATAGAAGTTACAAAGAGCAAAAAAAAGAGTGGGTCTGTTGTGGGGTCCAAGGGCCATCATACTGATCTACAATCTCACCCCCTTTTCTTGGAGTCTGAGTCTACCTAAGGCACTAAGATGCCCAGGCAAGGCCCAAAATTGTGATGCTCCTGCCCTAACCTTCTAGAAGTGATGTGTGAATTTCAAGAACAGAGAGTTACAAGTAAAAGACAATGATTACAAATTTGTTCTTTGTGTTACCAACCTCAAATATTCCAATTTCAATAATAGGATGGTCATGTAATAAACAGTTTAGCAAAACTAAATCACACCAAGTGCTTTTCAACTTAAATAAAGTATATCGTTAAATGCATTTCCTTTTCCTAATCTTCATCTCCTGCAAAGACAGAGACCCTGGGCCAGGGATGTAGGTAAGTGGCACCGCGCCTGCCTGGCAAACACAAAGTCCTGAGTTTGATACCCAGTATGGGGGGTTGGGGTGGGGAGAAAAAGACCTACACCCATAGATTGTTTTCTAAAATACAATGAGGTCAGTTCCTATTCTCCAAAGCCTGATAAAGAACTAAATGGTTAAAAAAATCAAGTGGAGGGCTGGGGATTTAGCTCAGTGGTGCCAGTGCCTGCCTTGCAAGTGCAAGGTCCTGAGTTCAATCCCCAGATTTAAAAAAAAAAAAAAAAAATCAATTGGATAGGGGTGAAATTCTACAGATCTTTACTAATTTCCATCAATTAAAATACTTACCATATAGAAGAAATTAAAAAGAAAAAATTTTGTTTTTCCCCAGTACTGGGGCCTGAATATAGGGGGGCTCCTGCATGGTACACAAGTGTTGTACCACAGAGCTACAACCCAAGCCCTCAATCTCCTTTTGATTAAGGATCAAACTTGGGACCTGTGCTTAAGGCAGGCAGGCAGCAGCAACACTGAGCTAAATCCCGGGCCCTCAATCTTCTTTTTATACATTCATTTCTCTTAGTCAGATACACCAATAAAATTCACTGAAACACACTGACTATTTTGCCATTTTAATTTCTACTTCGGTGAACCAATATCAATTTCTAAATATTATCACATCAATCACTATTATACATACACGATAAAAATCTACCTTTCTAAATTTCAAAGCCTAAGTTAAAAGACTACTGTTTAGGCACCTTATATGTTTTTAAAATTTTATATTAAGTAACTCCAGCATGTGTATCAAAGCTTTTCTGCTGCTTTCTTAATTTGCTATAGTAATAAATAATATTTTAGAAGTAAATATATATACCTAATTGTTTAAAAGAAAAAATACAATAAAGACTTTGGGGAATAGCTCAGCGGGTAAAGCACTTGCCTGGTTCTTGTCCCTCAAAGGGGGGGGGGATGAATAAATAAATAAATAAATACTAAAATAAATACTAAATACTAAACACTATTTTCATAATACAAATGATATTGTTTTAGTTTTTCTGTTTGTTTTTTTGAGACAGGGTCTCACTATGTAGTTGAGACTGACCTGGATGGAACTCACTATGGAGCCCAAACTGGTCTCGAACTCACAGCGATCCTCCTGCCTCAGCCTCCCAACTGCTGGGATTACAGGTGTGTGCCACCACGCCCAACTTCAAATGATACTGTTTTAAAGACTGTCTAAAAATACACATAAAGTGGAATGTCCTGTTTATAAAGAATGTCCTCCCTCCAATGAAGTCTAAACAACTTGTTAAACACATTTCTTGTTGAAATTTGGGGAAGAAGCATTTTTCACTGACAAACTTCATTAGGATTCCGGAAAGAGAGTAGATCATCAATGGCAAAATCTCTTCTTGAAAAAGTCTAAAAGAGAAACCCCCAACCCCTTTTCAGAGTTAGGGTCTTCTGATACAGTCCAGGGTGGCCTTCAACACACTAGGTGGCTCAATCTGGCCAGGAACTCACAGTGACCCTCCTGACTCAGCCTCCCCAGTGCTAGTATTACAGGTATGCCACCATGCCAGGCAAAAGCCATTTGTTTTTTTAATAGAAAAATAAAACTGGATGCAGTAGCCCGCACTTATATACTAGACACTTGGGAGACTGATGCAAGAGAATCACAAGTCATTTGAGACCAGAGTGGGCAATTTAGTGAGACCCTGTCTCAAAATAAAAAAAGTCAGCAGATATAGCTCAATGATGGAATGCCCCGGGTTCAATCCATAGTGCCATACCAAGAGGGGGGTGGAGAGCAAGCATAGTGATAAGGCACTCATTTCATGAGGCCAAAAGTACTTATCTAAGTCGTGCTATAGTTTATAAACCCTTTAATTGGTGACTGAAAAAGTTTTGCTCTTACCTCACTTAGCCAGGAAAACAAAATTACCAAAACTCATTCTAGTCACTACACCTTTATTACAACACTTCTATAATAGCGTAATACCTTAGTACAAAAGGCAATAAATGCAGAGGCATCTGCTTCAATAACAGAAAAACAAATAAGAATGGTTGTGAATTACCTCTTTATCAAGATATGACAACACGGATTCTGTCTCATTCAAAAGGGCAACACTGCATTTTCCCCTGTTGAAAGAGAAAAATATGAACAATGTAATCTCTTGCCTTCACAAGACGGAATATAAAAAGTTAATATTCAAATTGTAGGTTAAAAACTAGATGGCAGTCAAGAATATACTTACATGTACATATTTCAACTATTCAAACCTGCTTAATAACTCTGGTGTTTGGTTACCTGTGAAACAAAGCCATCTTGGAAGGCAATTAGAGAGAGGCCAGCCTGGGGAAGGAATGGAGGGGAGTAGGAAACCCATACAACATACATTTGAATAGGTAAATTCTAACTGAAGGGAATAAAAGGAGGATAGTGTGACCTTCAGATTGTTTCCGAATCCATAAACAGGTATCACGAAAGCCATGTGAGAGGTTGGATTCCTGTAATTCCAGTTAATTGGGAGGCTGAAGCAGGAGGATCTCAACTTGAGGCCAGGCTGGGCAACTCAGCTAGACCTTCTCTCCAAATAATAATAAGGGCTAAGGGTGTGGTTCAGTGTTCCCCGGTCTCAATTTCAAAGTACTACCAGATAATTTTATGCAGGGGCTCCTCGAACAAAGACATCATACAAACTGCACCTAAAATAAAATTCAATTTTCAGCCAGGCTCAGTAGCACACACCTGTGATCCCAGCATTGCAGAGGCTGAGGAAGGAAATTTACTGTGAGTTCTAGGCCAGAACGGGCTGCCTAAGTGCATTCAAGGCCAGGCTGAACTACATACACAGTGAGACCCTAACTCAAAACGACAAAGAACAGAAGTTTTTTTTAATTCTTAAGCAATGAATGTATATGAGAACTGAAAAATAATATATGTATCATGATGTTAATAACCTACCTTTACCAAAACCATTCTAAAAACTAGCTAAATTTAAACAAAGGGAACTGCTATACAACAAGGGGCAAAATAAAGGTCTTCAAATTCATGGGCCTTGAGGAGCATTTACCTCCGACCATAGCCTTCAGTGGATTCCACAAATGCCAATCCATTTTGGGGGGGTGGTGGGACAGGGTCTCACTATGTAGTCCAGGTCGGTCTCGAACTCATAGCAATCCTCCTGTCTTAGCTTCCAGAGTGCTGGGATTAAAGGGGTGCACCACCACACCAGGCTTTTTTTTTTTTTTTTGGTTGTCAATCCATGTTAAATGGCCTGCTGAGACTTCGAAAAGGAACCTGTTATCCAGGTGAGAGGACTTAACATAAGTACTTTCAAAATTATTCTCACCAGCTTGAAAATGTCACTGTTGATTCCAAATTTAGCAGGGAAATTTTGACAAATTATTCAGCTTTTAGATATTGGTTTCATTGTTTCATTCACAGCCTAAGATTACAAAGCGAGAAGAAGGATACCTAGCCAATCTAAAACACAAGTTGATTTGGGGTCTGCAGCTCATAAGCAAAGATGAAAGGATAACAAGTGATTTGAGTTTTTAAATTTCTCTAAGGTGGCTATATTTTATTTTTCCCAAATTAAAATAATCTAACACTAAGTTTTTCATGTTAATATACTAACTGCTAACAAAGTAAGCAATTTGAGTCAGAATTATCTTATGAAGTAAATATGAATATGTAATGAACACATGCACTACCATGCCAAAACTTGTTGATAAAAATGGTTTAAAAAGAGATTTAAAGCACTGGCTTCTGTTATGCCTAACAAATCTTGGCTCATAGACTTTAAAAAAATTGAATCTAACCCAACCTATGGAACCATTATCAAATCCTGAGAATATAACCTAAACAATTTATACTGAGTCTGAAGCAATGAACCTGTGTCTCTTTCACAATATTTCAATTCTTAAGAAATAAAGATACCCAAACACAATGTAATCTACATCACACCTTAATGCAAAGCAAGATTATCCCAGGCCCATATAGTCATTCACTCTGTTTTCTACAAGAAACCACAAAGAAGTATACAATTGCCACAGAAAAATACACATTCCCCTCACTCCCAGCAAGTTTTTTGAACTGCACTGTTTCAGAGACTTTGTAGAGAACTTTGCATACATATTTATGACAAACATGGTGCATGTTGAACAAAGGGGGCTAATCAGCATGGAATCTGCTACTTGTTTAAAACTACCTTCAAAATAATCCTAGACTCAAAAAACGTATTTTAAAACTGTGTTTACAGGCCTGGAGATGTAGCCTGGTAGTTCAGTACATGCTTGGCACACACAAGATCTTGAGTTCAATCCTTAGCAATCAAAAAACAAATAAAACTTTAAAAAGTAAGTGGGAAGGCCAGAGATTTAGCTCAGTGGTTCTGTGCCTGCCTCGCAAGCGCAAGATCCAGAATTCGATCCCCAGTACAAGAAAAAAAGGAGCCATTATGGCAACAAACTCCTATCTACCTGAAAATAAGACCTAGCAAATAAATAATTATCCTTGAAAATAAGAGATCAAAAAATATTAGGGCCAGGGATTTCGTGGTGGTGCTGCCTGCCTTTCAGCCTCACTGTCCTGAGTTCGATCCCTGGTACCTCACCACCACCCTGCAAAAAAAAAAGAAAAGTCAAAATAACATTTTTTTTTTTTTTTTAATTCAGCACCCATGGTCAGTCATGGTGGTCTTGTCTGTAATCCTACCACTCGGAAGGCTGAGTCAGGAGGATCATCATGAGTTTGATGCCAGCCTGGGCACACAGTGACTTCAAGGCCAGCCTGAAACACACAGTGAGACCCTGTCTCAAAAAAAAAAAAAATGCCAACCCCATTCAGCCTATGCTTTTGGCCTTACAGAGTTGCCTGCCACTGCACAAGAGAATAGTGACAGCAGTTAAGGCAAGGATAGGTTGGTTGGGGCTGGCATTTTTGATCACTAGTTTTCAAAGATGATTATGAGGATTATTTTCCAGCTAGGTCTTATTTTTAGGGAAAGAAGGTCCCCACACTCTGGAAGCCTGAAGCAAGAGGATAGAAAGTTCAAGCCCAGCCTGGTCAAGTTAGTGATTTAACGACTCTGTCAAAAAATAGGAGAGGAGCCGAGGATGTAGCTCAGTGGCACTAAGCCTGCCTCACAAGTGTAAGACCATGATTTTATATATATTTTTTTTTTTTTTTTAAGAATTTTTAAACCAAAAAAAAAGTGCCAGGGATTTAACTCAGTGCCATGCCTGCATGGCAAGTACAAGGTCCTGAATTCAAACCCTGGAACAAAACAAAACAAAACAAAACAAAAACAAAAACAAAAAACAAAGAAGAGAGATGGGTATGGTGGTACACATGTGTAATCCCAGCACTCAGGAGGCTGAGAGATAGGAGGCCAGCCTGGGTTACATATTAAAGTTTAAAACTGGCCTAGGTAGCAAGATCCTGTCTCAAAGAAAAATAAAATAAACTGGAGACGTAGTTCAGTGTGAAGACTCTGAGTTCAATGCCCAGGGTCAAAACAAACGAACAAACAAAAATACCCCCCAAATTTTTTTTTAAATCAAAAGAGGAAGGAGTTTAAATTTATGGCTACTTCTCCTTGCTTCATACACCTGAAGTTTGCAGAACTGTTCAAAACTAACATAGAAAATGCAAATTTTTATGCTTTACCAGACTTACTGACTCCTACTAATGTCCGAGCCCAACCTGGGCAACTTGCAATTTAGCAAGACTTTGTCTTGAGATAAAAAATGAAAAGGGCTGAAGAGGCAGCTCGGTGCTAGGGTTCTGGGTTCAATGCCCAGCACCACTGTAAGAGGAGGGGTGAGAAGAGGCATACACACAGAGAGAAAACAAAGCATTTTTCTCATTGGTTTTGAGCTTTACATTTGCCATAACTCAGGATTCTGACAGTCTTAGAATACTATACTTTATTACTGGAGATTTAGTGAATAGTTTTATCCAGCATCTAATATGAATACAATGAACAACCAAACAAAACAGGGATTAAGTTCAAAGATCCAAAATGCTTTCTGAAAACGTATCAACAGAAACTTTTTTCCCCACATATTACATGCATTTTATTTGTAATATCATAATTCAAATTTATTTTGCTCATTTGGTTTATTGTTTATCCCTATTTTTTTTCTCACTGAGTGTATTGGTACATTTTAGGTATACAGTACAGTTACATTCATTACTGGGATCTTGTACCTTTACATGACACGTCTTGGTTCTCATTTTTTCCCTTGTTCCTGCCCTCCCTTAATCCAGAAACACTTTTTAAAACAGATAAAAGGGAAGAGTCAAATTGTGAAGTAATTATTTCCAAACCAGAATTATATGCCAAAAAAAATCACTAGCTGAGTATGGAAAATATTTTCAGACATGTAAACAGTAAAAATTTTTTATTTTAGCAGGGTATGGAGGCATACACCTGTAATCCCAGCACTCAGAAGGTTGAGGCAAGAGGATCACTGTGAGTTCAAGTCCAGCCTGGACTACATAGTGAGTTCCACAGCAGACTACACTACATAGTGACACCTTGTCTCAAAAAAAGAAAAACGGGCCAGGGATTTAGCTCAGTGATATTGCCACTTGCCTTGCAAGCACAAGGACCCAAGTTTGATCTCCTACCAAAAAA